GGTATTTATCGGACAGCCTTATCCTAGCCGCGATGATTGGTCATATTTACATGGTAGCATCCTCAGATAGTGTGCATTCAAATTTGTACAAATCATGACCCCCGGAGATAGGGTGGGACCACAATGGGCGATCAAAGTTTTACGTAGGAACACATAGTAAAAACCTTTAAAAAAACTATTTCTTAAGAACAGCAAGCCATGATTGGTCATATTTATATGGAAGCATTCTTAGATAGTGTACATTCAAGTTTGTTCAAACATGACCCCTGTTGGTCGGGTGGGGCCACAATAAGTGATCAAAGTTTTACATAGGAATACAAAGGTTAAATCTTTAAAAAAATTTTACTCAAGAACAGCAAAGCCATGATTGGTCATATTTAAATGGAAGCATCCTCAGATAATGTAGATTCCAGTTTGTTCAATTCATGACCCCCCCCCCTCCCCGAGCCCCTTTTATATTTAAACTTTTCAACCTTTCAAGACTGAACTGATTTCTGCTTTTTCCTAGCCATAGTGCTCAGGTGAGCGATGTGGCCACTGGGCCTCTTGTTTATATGTGTATTTCTTATGACAAGGCCTTCCCTTGGGCACCTTCGCGAAATGCTGCCATACGGGGACAAAAGTGTTTCACAAACACATCTTGTTTATATCTACTTTAGTTGCTATGAAAAAAAAGGAATATATTGGATCGATTTTGAAAGTGGGACATTATCAGGGAAAAATGACAGCTTTAAAATCTTTGACAAAACAGGAAAAGAGAATTTTCTTTACTTCAAATTTTCTTTTGAGGTGTAGGTTAGTTTAGGGGTGGGGGATTAAGGTCCATTAGTTGGGGACTACCTCATTGGTTTAAATTAAAATCAAAAATTTACGTAAAGAAAGAAAACTGTTTGGGGGAGGGTCCCCCCCCCCTTGCTTCGCAATCTCCTCCACGCCAAATTATATATTTCTAAATGTTATATCGAGTGAGTGGAAGTCAGTAGAAATAGAATAACTTTCCAAAACTTTATATCAGTTTGGAATATTCCGATCTATTTTTAGACCAATGTGAAGAAAATAAATCCTTATATTTACCTGGAAGGTCAGGTGCAGGCAAATATAACCAGTGTTTTTTTTCTACATCATCTTCGCTAGCTAAGGGTTTCCGATCCGAAATTTACTCTACAAGAGGAATGGAGTGGATCGTAAACCCTTGGCTAGCAAAGATGCTCCACCATTGGATCTCAGCCAATCAGAGAGACAGGAATTAATCAGTCATATAATAATAAATTTTGATCGGTATTGTAATTATTACATTTTATGAGAAATTTTAAGGTTTAGTATAGTCAAGAGGGCATCCTCATATCCATCATGGCTAATCAAGGGATTCTGATCTGCTTTTCTCCTCGAACCCTTGGCCGACGTTGCTCAAAAAGTGGTTTTTTTTTTCTCGAGTTTTGATTGGGGTTGGTTGATATCCTTCGACCAATCAGAAATTGTTTTTTTTTAAATGACGATAACTGTGTTTTCGGATACATCGACTCTTTAGTCTCAGGAATGAAAAGCAAGTAAACAATAATCTGTTAGATAACACGCCATTCTATAAATAAGTATTGCATCATTCATCTTAAATTGATGTGCAAATAATATAATTAAGAATCGAATTTCGCCAAAATTGCCTTTTGTCTGTAGTTTTGAGTTGACGATTTTTATTATTATCCCTGTGCATGTTTCACTTTTCTTCAAAGGTAAAGTGACTATTCAATGTTCTTGTTTATATTTGATTTATTAGTTCAAAAAAGTTCATTTATCCATCCATTTGCCAGAAACAGCATGTAGAAGCCTTGACTAAGGTGGAGTTTGCCTCATTGTGAATTGCCAATTCAAAGTTCAAAAGTTTAAACAAGGATATCATAAAAAGATAACCCTGTGATCAATCTTAACTGCTCTCAAAATAAACAAATCTTTACTTATTTTTTGACTACAAAACATGTAAAATTTTGCGCCACTCGGTTTGCTCTGTATATCATTATGTCAACATCGAATATGTTATCTGGACTGGGGAGTGGGGGTGGGGCTGCTGAGAGCAATGCTTTGATTTGAATTATATTTGGACATTTTCGTCGACAGACCTGTTTCCCCTCCACCTTACCTAATTTTTTCATTAAAGTATTGTTAAATTTTCGTATTTTATTGTATTACTTATATTAAGTCGACATGGGGTGGATCTACAAAGGAAATGGACAGTTTTAATCACATCACTAGGTTGCGTTTCTTTTGCGTACCATTATCCTAAATTTGATAACAAGTGCAAGAAGTTGATCTTTATGTCGCGGTTTTGAATCCCACTGTGGGGCGTGGGGACAGGTCCTTCGGATGAGGCCGTGTAATGATTATAAGTAAGAACCATAACTCTGTATTGTATGCTGTTTTGGATTATCACCCTTAATTAAAAAGAGTCTGAAGGCAGTGATGCGTTGTCCATGTAATGGGTCATAAAATCCTTAGTTAATCTTTAGTAATTCATTGAGCACGGTTACTACATTGGCGACGAGGATTTAGAACAGACTCTACAAATTAGAATGGCTCAGTTAGTTACGACTGATTTAGGAGGAATTCCTACATTTGATTGTGATGGAGAACCGACCACGGTAGGGGTGAGATGGCAAAAATGGCGCAGAGCTTTCGAGTTATTTGTAGTCGGTAAAAGGGTAGAAAATGCGGCACAAAAGAGAGCTTTGTTATTACATTGCGGAGGTATGAAGATGCAAGATATTTATTTCACATTTCCCGCGGCTCGCGAACCGGAGGGAGATGAGACGGTGTACGACATAGCTATAGAACAACTTGATAACTACTTCCGCCGTAGAGTAAACACACCATTCGAAAGGCATGGATTTCGTTTGATGGCACAGGAATCGACAGAGAGTTTAGATCAATTTGTGACTCGATTGAAACAGAAAGCGGAACATTGTAATTTTAATAATGCTGACGAACATATTCGGGATCAAGTCATCGAAAAATGTAAATCGTCTCACCTACGTAGGAAACTACTGGAGAGAGGGGGTGACTTGACACTCGAGCAAACGTTAACTATACGAAGGGCCTTTGAACAAAGTCAACAACAAGCAAGCGGAATCGAAGGAGGAAGGAATTCAGAAACTTTCGTGAATAAAGTAAGCACTCAGAAACACAAACAATACACAAGTATAATTTGTTATAAATGTGGCAAACGGGGACATATTAAATCTGATCCAACATGTCCAGCCCTGGGTCAAGAATGTCGTAAGTGTCACCAGCCAGATCACTTTGCTAAGTGTTGTAAATCTTTCACACCAAAGGCTCGCAAATATCCAGGACGAGGCAAACCCAAGCAACGCATTAGACTGGTGGACACAACAGAGCCAGAGGATTCGGAAGAAGCTAATGTATTTACACTGTCTATGGACAAGTTACAGGAAACTTTTCAAAACACTTACCGTTGGTGGACCAAATCACCCAACCGTTACTACGAATATTGGGGGAGTACAGGATATTTCGATGATTGTCGACTCTGGTGCTAGCTGTAATGTCATTGATCGACACCTATGGGAGGAGCTAAAGAGGAGGAAGGTCAGATGTACTTCACAGAGATCAGATAAGAAACTTTATCCGTACGGAAGTTCCAAACCTTTGGACACTATAGGATGTTTTATCGCAGATATTGCAGTGGGAAATTCATCAGTGAAAGCAGAATTCATTGTGATCCAAGGTAAAGGACAGGCCCTGTTAGGACATAAACAGCAACAGAACTTGGAATTCTGAGTGTGGCACATGCAAATTTCCTGTCGGAAGCCAACTTACTTAACAAGTATGAGAATTACTTTAATGGTGTGGGAAAGTTGAAGAACTTTAAGTTGATGTTACACATAGATGAGAACGTTACACCTGTGGCACAAGTCAGGAGGATTCCATTCGCTATGAGGGAGAAGGTCGAAGCCAAACTTAAAGAGTTACAGGATATGGATATCATTGAGCCAGTCGAGGGACCATCATCTTGGGTCAGCCCTATTGTTGTTACGCCGAAGCCGTCAGGAGATATTCGTCTATGCGTGGATATGAGGCAAGCTAATGAGGCCATAATTAGAGAGAGACATCCAATACCTACCATTGATGAGATTTTGCACGGCCTAAATGGGAGTTGTATTTTCAGCAAGTTGGACCTGAAGTGGGGTTTTCATCAATTAGAGCTAGCTGAAGAATCCCGTGATATCACCACTTTTGTTACTCACGTTGGACTGTTTCGGTACAAAAGACTTAGTTTTGGTGTCACTTCTGCACCTGAAATTTATCAGCACACCATCCAGCAGGCATTCCAAGGATGTGACGGAGTGAGAAGCATGTCGGACGACATCATTGTACATGCTAAAACAGTGGAAGAGCATGACAGCAGATTATTAGCTGTGATTGAGAAACTAGGCAGAAATGGATTGACATTTAATAAGGAAAAATGTCAACTTCATCGAAAAAAAAAAAAAATAGAATTTATGGGACACATCTTATCGGACGAAGGAATCGACCCAACCAAAGAGAAGGTGAAAGTTATAGTAGAAGCTAGACCGCCAACAAACGCATCAGAAGTCAGAAGTTTGCTTGGACTGGTTACGTATTGTGGAAAGTTCATTCCTAACCTAGCAACACTGTCAGAACCGTTGAAAATTTTGACAAAGAAAAATCAACCATTTACTTGGGGCTCTGAACAAGACCAAGCATTTAGAAAGCTGAAGACAAGTTTATCAAAAGCCAAGACATTAGGATATTTTGATCCAGGGAGAGCGCCGTATTATTTGCTTTGCAAGCAAAAGTTTGACAGATGTCGAGGGAAGATACTCACAGACCGAAAAAGAGGCATTAGCACTCGTATGGGCATGTGAACGCTTTTATATGTATTTATATGGTTGCAAATTTGATTTGCTGACAGACCATAAGCCTCTACAGTTCATCTACAGCAAGAAGTCAAATCCATGTGCGCGCATCCAACGATGGGTATTTATTCCTTCCAGTTCACAGTAAAGTACATTCCTGGACACAAGAATGTTGCTGATGTACTATCTCGACTGTGTATCTATAAGTCCGATACACCTTCACCAAGTCAAATATCTTAGGATTTCGTAAGATTCGTAGCTCTGCAAGCAGTACCCAGAACATTGACAATTCAGGATGTGGAGAAAGAGTCCGCTGGAGATCTTGAGTTACACAGAGTTAAAGAAGCTTTACAAACCGGAAATTGGACAGATTGTGAGGAAAGTTACATAGCTGTCAAAAATGAACTGTGCAGTATAGGAAAAGTGATCCTCAGAGGTACACGTATTGTGATTCCAACCAGTTTGAGAGAGAAAGTTTTAACCGCTGCTCATGAGGGACACCAAGGTATCACTAAAACAAAACAGCGACTGAGAGAGAAAGGGTGGTGGCCAAAGATTGATAGTGATGCCGAACGTGTTTGCAAGAAATGCTACGCATGTCAAGTAGTTGGAGGTCCGTCGTCACCTGAACCTTTACGCCGTAAAGTGCTTCCAGATTATCCATGGCAAGCTACAGCAATCGATCTAATGGGACTTTTTCCAACAGGAGAGTCAGTATTGGTGTATGTGGACTATTACAGCCGTTTCTTTGAAACTTATATTTTGAAGAACACAGGATCAACCAAGATCATTGAATGTTTGGAGGAAACTTTCGCTCGATATGGTATTCCTGACAGTCTGAGAAGTGACAACGGAGCACAATTTCGGTCTACAGAATTTGAGAAGTTTCTAGAGGAATACAACATCATCCATGAAACATCCACACCTTATTGGCCGCAAGCTAATGGAGAAGTGGAGCGACAGAATAAGACCTTATTAAAAGCTCTCAGAACAGCTCATGTTGAAGGGAAGGACTGGAAAAAGGAGTTGCCAAAATTCCTTTCAGCCTACAGAAGCACACCGCATACAGTAACTGTAGTTGCACCGAACAAACTTATTTTCCGATATCCAGTGAAGACAATGATTCCTAGCCTCCCGAGAGAGAAGAGGAAGACATCCGAGTTAAAGACTGGATGAAAAAGAAGAAAGAGAAGGAATATACAGACAAGAGTAGGAATGCAAAACACAGTCAATTACAAGTCGGAGACCAAGTGTTGGTTCAACAGCCAAAAGAAAACAAACTTTCACCTGCATTTGAAACAAAACCATATGAGGTCATTGAACGAACAGGAAATGAAGTTTTACTGAGAGCACCACATGGAGGTACATATCGCAGAAATGTAAAGCAAGTGAAAAATCTGGAGTTAGATGGTAGTGCCCAGCTTGATGATACAGATGATGTAACCGATGTTGATCTTCCACCAAGTGAGGTACCAGATGATGATGTGGACGACCTTAGGATCCATGATGTGGACGACTCTAATGTTGCGACAGACCGTCGAGACTCTCTGCATACAAGACCAGTTCGGGAACGCAGGCTACCAACTCGGTTCAAAGACTTTGTTTTGACATAATGTTTAATTTTTATGGACTGTGCTAAAGAAAAATTGTAAAAATTTCGAACGTAACGCATTTCATTGATTTTTATTGTGACCATGAACTTTAAAGAAAACGTCATTTTCAGTATTGAAATTTTATTCAAACATAAATTTAGTTGATGTGAAAATTTAAGAAAAGGAGGAATGTAATGATTATAAGTAAGAACCATAACTCTGTATTGTATGCTGTTTTGGATTATCACCCTTGATGAAATAAAGTCTGAAGGCAGTGATGCATTGTCCATGTAATGGGTCATAAAATCCTTAGTTAATCTTTAGTAATCCAGTGAGCAAGGTTACTACAGGCCGTATAAGCTGCGCTCTCGTGTCTCATAAGTACTGGCACGAAAAAGATCCCTCACTGCTCAATGGTACTCAGTGCCAGCATAAGTTAAAATTTGCAGCTCTCCACCGTCAATTGTATGCGTCGCCATAGAAGTGAAATATTCTCGAGAGGGACGTAAAACAAAACAAAAAAAACAAGAAAACAAAACAAAACAAAACAAAATCAAGGAAAAAAAAAAACAAAACAAAAATAAACAAACAAACAAACATCTTGCACACTTTCTTTCCTCGCTGACAACAGTATTCATCTTAAGGCCCTTTCACAATTGGCGCACGAGCACTTTACACCACTTTGCGATCGGAATGTTTCAGCTTCGCACGAGCTCTCGCATACGTTGCACGATGTCTTGCATTCGTTACATGCATTTTAGTGGTCGCATCAAGTCTCCTCAAAATAGTGGACATGCACACTATTCAGACGCAACCAAATGCGATCCAAATTATCGCAACGCAACGCACGAACAGTAGTACGAACGTCTTACAACGTTTTGTGTACTCGCAAGAGTGATGCACGATTTTTAAAGGTCGTAAGACGAATCGCAGCTGTCTATGCGTGTGTTTTGCGAATATGAGACTGTTGCTCAACGTGTCTCATGTAATCTTGCAACGTTTTACTATCCTTGCATAATTTATCAGCCTCAATTTGTCATGTTTTGCCACTAGTATATATAAACTGTATAAGCATCTTCTCTAGCATTCAACTATATCAACTGAAGAGCTTCGGAAATGGCCGGTTTATATACCCCTTCCGACTCGCACGAGCATTCGTACCATGGAACGCATGAGCGCACGAGCGCCGCACGTTCAATCGCATTGGCGCACGTTCAATCGTCCAATTACCTGATCATTCGCGCGATCCGATCGCAGTATCTTACAACAATCGCTTTTATTGTACAACAGTCGCATATAGACGCAAGATATATCGCAAGATTTAACGCACAACGGTCGCTTTAGATCGTGCGAATTTCGTACGAATACTTTTTCATATGCGATTATTTTCGCAACACTTTACGATCCAAATTAGAAATTTTCTGTCGCACGAATATTTTGTCGCTTCTGCTCGTGCGCCAATTGTGAAAGGGCCTTTAGTTGAAAAACTCTTAGAAGCACATGAACCTGTCATATTAGTTGGGGGCTGGCATTTCTTAAACATGTCTGAGGTTGAAAAGTTCGTTCGATGTAACATTATATGATGACATCATCTTGGAAACATTACACCACCAATCGGGAATGGTTCCACCATACGTCATCATGAGCATGCTCCATGTGACCGTGATCTTTGTTCCAAACAGGATGAGAATCAAAATTCATTGAAACTTTCCAAATCCACCACACTCTTTGACTATATTCTCAAGAAGGTCGCTGATGGCGTCCATTTTAAACCAAATTCTTTTTTAAAAATCATTTTTCAGGTAAAGATCTTTCAATAATTCTAACATCTATTGTAAAATATAATTCTTTACTACACCTGGGGGTTGGAATGTAACAACTTTTTAATTTTTCTTTAAAACAACTAATTAAATCTCGGATTTATAGCTATTGAAAGAAATCTAGTCATGTGCATTATTTTTTAATACAAGAATCATTATCTATTTCATTGTCTTCAAAACATGATTCTATAGATCTATGTACGAGATCTCAAGTGCTAGTATTAAGTATATTTGGTAGAGGTTTTTGTGGAAATATGCATGAGATACACATGTCTACAAAGGTTCCGGTAACGAGGTCGTATTGACTTGACAAATAATATTCTTTCATCTAGGATTGAGTTTAAGAACAAAGTGTAAATGTTAAACTGGATATGGGTAAACATTGCTAACACTACTATATTTCCATTTTTTTTTTGCATATACATGTGTCACTTGCTTCTTGTGTCGCCTGTACAGCAGAATGATATTTAAATATCACTATACCCGGCATCTGTATGTTCGTCAATCTGTCCGTCTGTCCCAGCTTGAAAACTGTAAAAGATATCAATTTGATATTTTGCACATACATTGCTTGACACTTTGACTTTTGCAACCTACAGTACCATAGTTACCGACCTCATGATCCCTGAAAGCTAAAAATAATTTAAGCATGAATTTAATGAAAAAAAAAAAAAAAAAAAAAAAAACTGTTACGTAGATTCCATTATCGCAGCCCGGAGAACCAGGCTGCTCTATACATATAAGTTTGTTTTGGTGTATGGGATTGAGGTGGGAAAAGTTATTCAGAATTAAAGATTAACTATACAATAAAAAGATTATATATTAATCGAAGCGGTTTGATGATCAAGACTAATTTCCATCGTTTACTTCATTTATTTCCCGGGCGACAGTTGAGGGCAACATCAATGTTTTCTTGTTCATGTTAGCCTTGAGAATTGGGAAATCATACATATACCTCTATTTGATTGTTACATTTTATTTGATGCAAGTAAATGCTATCATGTGTCCGTCTTACTATCCGAGAATTTTTTTCCTTTGCCGGCAAATGCCCGAGCTGATTTGCTAGTAGCAAATAAATAGCTGACCATACACCCTTTCATTTATTATAATCTCTATTGATGTTATTAAGCAGGCAAGGATCCATTTCCTGGAAGACTCCAGCATTCAAAAGTTTGTTTTCCTCACCAAGTTTATTATATTATCAGTGGGGGAAACCGTCTATTTTTTTTATGTCACAGACAAATATGACTCCAACAAAACAACAAAATATTGTAAGGCTTTTAAGACAAAATCTAAATTTAAAAAAAAATCTTGTGACTCTTTCAAAAGTATTCCTGATTCTTTAGTGTCTTTGAGCTGAGGGGTAGGGACACGAGAGGAGACAAAATAATATGCATTTTTTCGTAAACAATAGTTCGTTCATATTTTTGAAATTCTTCATTGCATGTCATTTAATTATTTTAAATAATGCATGAACTTAAACACTCATAATATTTGCAAAATTATGTTTAAAAACACATAGAATCTTATCTTTGTGTATGATATCAACAGCTTAAAAACTTACGACTTTTCAACTTTATACACAACGATAAATTAAAGTCCAGGCTTTTTGATATCATTGACAGCTGCTTTTTCAATAAAAATGGAACTCGTAAATATACTTACCTTGTCAATGGTCATTTGCAAAATTATTTTGTTAAAAAAACATTCTGATTGTACACACAAGTACTCTGAAGTTGACATTAAAAAGATGCTTGAGTTTCTGATTGACAATATCTAATATCTATGTGGTTTTTGGAGACCAGGTCTTCCAACAATCTATTGGAATTGTTATGGGTACCAATTGCGCCCCGTTATTAGCAGACCTTTTTTGTATTCATATGAAGCAGAATTTGTCCAAAATCTTGTACGTGAAAAGAAGAAAACACTTGCCGTGGCGTTCAACTCGACATTTAGATGTATCGACGATGTATTGTCAATTAACAATGGCTATTTTCATTCTTATGTCGATACGATATATCCTGGTGAACTTGAGATAAAAGATACCACAGAGTCTGACACATCTGTTTCATATTTGGATATTTTACTTGAAAAAGACGTTAATGGTAATCTAACAACCAAGCTTTATGATAAACGTGATGACTTTAACTTTCCAATCGTCAACTTCCCTTACTTATGCAGCAATATACCTTCATCACCTGCATACGGGGTATATATCTCTCAGTTGATTCGATACGCAAGAGCATGCTCTACTTATGTACAATTTCTAAAACGAGGTAAATTATTGACAAATAAGTTGATGAAACAAGAATATCAGCTGTCTCGTTTAAAGTCATCATTTCGTAAGTTCTATGGTCGATACAATGACCTTGTCAGCAAATACAATTTATCATTGAGTCAAATGCTGACTGACGTTTTTCATACTGGTTGTTAGGCCATTATTTACACACTGAATTGTCGACGGATTTTTCCGTTATTTCCCGATCATGACAAGGAGCACACGGCGGGTGTGACCGGTCGGCAGGGGATGCTAACTCCTCCATGGCACCTGATCCCACCTCTGATGTTTGGAGGTCCGTGTTTGCTCTGCTCCTATTTTGTATTGTATAATGGACTTTTGAGCTTGAATACTGTTGGTTATCTCCATATATTTCATTGCAAGAAAAAAAAAATTGTGACAAAAATGAAAAAAATATAAATTTAGTCCGAATATCCGAACAAAAATTTATTTTTGTTCTTGCATATTTTCTAAAATAATTTAATA